TGTACTCGCAGCATAATCCTACCGATTCTTCCACCTGATGAAAAAGGCTAACACTTCTTATTGGTAAAAGAGAATCTCACAGCTGAGCTTGCCGTCTGTTCTCCTACCCTCATCAAAGGAGTGGGCGGGGAGGATCACGGAACCCTCACCTAAGAATCCAGCCACTCCCTCGCAACCAGCGATACCATGGGTGCAGGAAGCGGGTAGAGGACATAGTCTGGGGGAGACTAGGACAAGGGAGGTCCATCAATGCAGCCATAGAGAAGTCATCATCTGTGATGGGTTCAGACCTGCCCCTGTGGCTCGTTTAAGGTCTCCCATGCCCCCTCCTGGAAGTCTTCACTCATGCTCTGTAAGTAAGCCTAATAAACTCGTTGGTTCCCCAGGGGGATCGTTCTTAGAAACCAACTTTGATTTGTCACTGGAACCTTAGAAAGACAGAGGGAGACGTAGTTAATTTCCCCATAGGAGAACTAATTCCAACCCCTAGCACTGACAGGGATTTCTCATTCAATAGGGAGGCTTGATCTGCATGCAGAAATATGTTTTGAGTATTGCTCTGCTCTTGCTCCATGAACATTTTTCTTCATAAAGTCCAGAATTTGCTAGTCTAATCCTAAGCAAGGGCTGATTTATGGGACTTTCATGCGGCTCTATTAATAGCTTACGGCTAGAAACAAATGCTGATTGCATGTAAATTCTGCCTGATACAACAGAGTTGCCATGGCATTAGTGGTACCAGTCACAGGGAAGACGGATGCAGTTAGAACTCTCTCTGTTGACTTCCTCCAACCCCTATCCTTGAACAGATGTATGGCAAATGTCATTCCACCGAACGGCTGGAACAAACAGCCACAAAATGCTTCGGTATGCATTTGCAAACAATACGATCCTATTCCTTCCCAATGCTCAGCTCCTTTGTGATGAATTGGACTGCAAATCAGGCTTTCCCATACTATAATGAGAGCTCACAGTATTGCATTGTGGGTATAACCTGCTGAATGGACGTGGCGTCTGCCCTCTGTCTTCCACGACTTACCAGAGAGCTTGGCCTTCCTGAAGGCATGCCTCATGCCCTGCCCTCAGTTTTTGTAACATCTCCTGATGTATCCTCTGGGTTTCTTTAGGCAAGGGTCTTTTCTGTGTATACTTCTCCCCCGCAAGATAATGAGGTGCATGATCAGCGTGCAATATACGTGACTGATAAACACACTGCCTCTGGCCCTCAGACTGATTGTTACCTATTGTTGAAGAAAGGAAAAGCAGCAGCAGGTGGGTAAGGTCAGAGTTAAGAAGCTGATATCAATTTATCCTCCAGCAATGAACTTTACCAAAAGGGGCTCAAGGTAGCAAAGCATTGAAACAAATCAGTTGAGCAAATGATAGAGCCTTAAAGGGGAAGAGCAACTTCCCTTTAAAACAGGGAAAGAGGCTTCATTGAGAGGAATAACAAAGTAAGAATAAGAGAGACCTGTCATGGAGAGACTGATGGGCAGGAGGCTCAGAGGAAAAAAAACAACACAAAACAAAGGAAAATATGCTTGTACGGGGGTGATGAGAAGGAACGTACCACTTTGTTTGGCTTGAGACAGCTTATGTGACAGAGCACAGAGAAGCCAGGAAATAGGTTGGACCATAAATGAAGAGATGTTAAAAACAGCACAAAACAGCTTCTTAACACACTCTTGAGAAGGATCTGTAGGAGGTCGTGGCCTGATTTATTCAGCCTCTAAGATCTGGCCTCTGACAGTGATGACCAGTATCTTAGAGGGCCAGGCTCACGATTTAACACCTGCACGGGGCTATGATGCAATCTTCTTTACGATGCTGAAAGATGATGAAGAGGTGAGACACCTCCCTTTGAATACGGGCTCAGGCACTGTGGATTCTATCATTTAAAGCAAGTATGTTTTCTGCCGCCTCCAGGCCCCACCTGCTGAACTAGTCAGTTCTTGTCAGTTTGGCACAAACTACAATCACCCGGTTTGAAGACTTGCTTGGCGTATGGGCATGTCTGTGAGGTAGTTTCTTAATTGCTGATTGATGGAGGAGGGCCCAGCCCGCTGTGTGAAACATTCCCCCTAGGCAGACGGGCCTGGGATATCTCAGACGGTAGCTGAGCACACCCGGGAAGCAAGTCAGTAAGCGGCATGCCTCCACGGTCTGTGCCTCAAGCTCCTGCCTTGAGATCCTCCCTTGCCTTTCCTTGATGGTGGACTGTAATATGTAAGTCAAATAACCCCTTTCTTCCCCAAGTTGCTTTTGGTCAGTGTTTTATCACAGAAATAGAAAGCAAAGTAGGACACGTGCTTTAGTGAAGAATGGAGATGCTCAGATGCTCCCTGCCCCATGGACCACTGGCAAACACAAAAGGGTCGGGGGTGGGGGGGTGTTCAGACATCTGAAATACAGAGCGAGGTATACAGCCAAATGCCCAAACGCAGTAACTGGGGCTGACAAAAACTGTTGACCATCCCTCAACTTTTTTTTGAATTTGTGTCTTTCTAACTGTGTGCAAGTGTGGGTGCATGCATGACACGGCACGCATATGCAGGTCAGGAGACAACGTTAGCTGTTGATCCTCACCATCCACCTCGTTGGAGACAGGGTTATTAGCTGTTCACTCGTCTCTATGCCAAGATAGCTGGCCTACCAGCTTCTAGGGGTTTTCCTGACTCCCCTTCCTGTCTCCCCATGGGAACACTGGGAATATAGATACACACTAACGTACCTGGTTTTATGTTGCTTCCAGGGACTCAAATGCTGGCCCACCTGGGGAGCCATCTCCACAGTCCATCAACCCCTCAAATGTTTACCACAATGTGGTCCCCAGATGCAAAACTGTCAACACATTTTTATTGAGACACCGCTTTGGAAACGTCCGCAACTCATCTGTGAAGCTAACCTGTCTTGAGTTTCTATATGATACAAGAAAGAACAATCACACAGCCAGAATAAAGCAAATAATCCACAACATGGGAAGGAAATGGCCATCATGAGCAATTATATAATAAGAGTTCTTTGCTACGGATATCCTCCTCCTGTAGGAGAGAAGGTTACAATTCCAGCACAGGCCCTGAAACATAGATAGGGCTGAGCTGGGCATGGTGGGGCATGCCTTTAGTCCCAGAACTCTGCAGGCAAAGGCAGGCGGATCTCCATGACACTGAGGCCAGCCTGCCCCACAGTGTGAGTTCCAGGCCAGCTGGGGCTACAGGAAGACCCTGTCTCAGAAACCAAAACAAAATGTAGTGCAAGAAAATGCTATGGAAAAATGAACCCTAACTAATTGCTGCAGTATCTCTATTACTTGAATAGCCCATGTGTTTTATGAACCAATTCTATTTTTTTGTAAAAATATTTATTGCATTAGTTTTACTTATGTATGTGTATGTGCATCCAGATGGTTATGTGCATGTGAGTGCAGTCCCCTCAGAGGCCGGAAGAGGGCACTGGACCTCTTGGAGCTGAACTTACAGCCCTTCGGGCAACTGAGCAGCGTGGGTGCTAGAAACGAAACTGTGGTCCTCTCAAGGAGTAGACAGTGCTCTTCTCCACTGAGCCACCTCTCTAGCACCACAACCTCAGAAGAAGCCGGGCATGGTGGCACACGCCTTTAAACCCAGCAATCAGAAGGCAGAGGCAGGTGGATCTCTGGGAGTTCAAGGCCACCGTGGTCTACCTAGTGAGTTCCAGGCCAGCTGGGGCTACAGGGAGACCCAGTCTCAAAAAGACTTAAAAATAAACTCAGATGAACGGGATTTATAGAACAACAGAGACTTTTTGAGAAATTAATATTACATCTCAGGGGCAAGATTTTATATTTGGGCAAAGAAAAAAAATGAATGAATACAATTTTCTATACATATTATATCAAGGTGTAATACAGATGTCAGAGAGCAAAAAAGACTCAAGTGTCATACAGGAAAGTCTAGCAATAACAACAATATTCTGAGCTATGCTTTTTAATGACTGGCAGCAGGTAGATGTTCCATTATAATTAAATAAAAATCACTAAGCGTGATAACATCCACGCATGACTGAATGCCAGCCAGTCAAGTTCCTAGTTACATAAGCAACCGGACACATTACATCCTAACACTCATTAATGGGATGAAATCTTCCACTGATTCACACTACAAAATATTCTTTTGACTTACAATACCAAGGTGTGGAAAATGTCCATTGATTAGCATGCAATGCTTTTAGGAAGGAAAAATACAAAAGAGAGGAGGTAAGTAAAAATAGATAGATGTAAAAAGCTCTAAGCCCAAAGGCACACATGTCCAGAGCTTGAAAATTCTGGGTCTCTTCTCTGTAGTCAGCATTTGTTATTAGTATTCACTCTTGTTATTTGATGCAATCAGTGGCTGTTGGAGAAGGAAGGCAGGGGCTGGGGAGAGGGCTCCATGGGTAAAGTGGAGTTCAAATCTCCCCTGACTCCATGTAAATTTCATATGGATATGACAACCACCTCTCAATGCAGTGTTCGGGCAGTGAGGACCGGGGGCTCCCAGAACAAGATGGTAAGCCAGACTGGAGTAAACAGTGACCTCCAGACACAAGGAGAGGCCGTCTCTCAGTAAATAAAATGGAGAATAATGAGAAAAGGCATCCAGTGTCAACTTCATGCATGTACATCCTACACACAACATACATGTGCACCTGCACCCTCATGTGTGTCCACATACATGCAAGCCTACAGGTATCTCACACATACACAGAAAGAGAGAGAAGGGAGTTAGGACTTGTCTACTGTGAATTCTTCATTGTGAAATAGAGGCACAAGGTGGAGGTGGGAGAGAGTATGGAAGAGATTAAAGAGCGAGTGTCACACTCAGTGGTGTGACACATTACTGCTATTTGGGAAGCCGAAGGAAGAGAATTGAAGCAAGTTCCAGCTGTAACTGAGCAACCTCACAAGACCCTGCATCGAAGTCAAAAAAAAAAGGGGGGGGGATGGGGAAGAATGTGAGTGGTAAAGTATTTGCAAAGCATGCTCAGAGGATGTGCTCAATGCTCAGTACTGCACAGAAAAAGAGAAGCTCAAACAAGGGCTCGATCTAGTTTCTTAAGACACTGTGGCTTGTGTGCTTTAAAGCACAATTTATTCTTAAAAATCACCACAGTAGCCAGGGCATGGAGTTGCACGCCTTTAAACCCAGCACTCAGAAGGCAGAAGTAAACAGAGCTTTCTGAGTTTGCAGCCACCCTGGTCTACACAGGAAGTTCCAGGCCAGCCAGGGCTACGTACTGAGATTCTGTCTCAGAAATAACACACAGCACTTTGACAGTAGGCACAAGACCTGTGTGAGCCCAAGGCAGACAAAAACATGGCACGGATGGGGGACGTGGGCGAGAAGACCCAGCCCTAGAGGATTTATTAGTAACTGATAGCTGCTGGGAGAGGGAGAGTCAGTTGTCGTCACTGGTGTGACTCTGGGTAGGTTAACCACAGTCCAAACGATGGACCCACACCTGAGAACATTTGGGTATCACAAAGTAGAGTCCATAAGTTTTAAGAAAATAACAATAATAATAGAGGACATGGAGTTGGGGGGGGAGTAGGGTGAGGTAAAAATGGAGGAGGGGGTCTGTATGTGATCAAAATGTATGAAATTCTCAAAGAATCAATCAAATACTAAAATAAATAAATTCCTACACTAAGCAACCATCATTACATTCAATAATATCATTTTTTTAAAACCAACAATGACATCTCTGATAATGTTCCTATGTATCTAAAGCATCTAGATATAAACTTTAAAACTATCCGCTTAGTGCACAATGGAGATGAGTTAGAAGCAGGGAAGGAATCGAAATATGGTAGACTGCTGGTATTTGCACACTGCATGATTCTGCTAGCATCCTTAGATAGATGGAGTGACATAAAATGTGGAGATGGTGTCATCAGAAAAGAGTGGTCCTCAAGCCGGGAGTGCTGGCACGTCTTTAACCCTAGCACTTGGGAGGCAGAAGCAGGTGGATCTCTATGAGTTCGAAGCCAGCCTGGTCTACATAGCGAGTTCCACACTAGCTAGGGCTACAGGGAGACCCTGTCTCAAAAAGACTAAAAAATAAAGGCAGGATGGAAAGAGGAAAGAAGGAAGGGAGGGAGGGAGGGAGGGAGGGAGGGA